AGTAAACGGAGAAGATCGTCGAGGCTAATGCAATAAGCAGCCGCCAAAGGAAACACGACGACAAACAGTAGGAAAAAATCATAACAGAGGGAAAAGCGGGGTTAGGGAGCTGTTGCTCAACCCTGACCTAAACACACACACAAAGTACATTTGGGAACGGAAATACGGCACCTCATAGCCTTCTGTTTCCTAGAAGCTCATGCTCTAGGAAACCTGATTGCCGGAGCGTTCCTTTCACCTGATTAGCAGTTCAGCTGAGGACTCGCTAGCGTCTCCACTCAGAAGCACATCCTTATAAACCGTATACTTTCACACAGAAAGAACTTTTTTAGTGTCAGAGTGGTTGACAAATGGAATGCATTAGGCAGTAATGTGGTGGAGGCTGACTCCATACACAGTTTCAAGTGTAGATATGATAAGAGCCCAATAGGCTCAGGAACCTGTACACCTGTTGATTGACGGTTGAGAGGCGGGACCAAAGAGCCAGAGCTCAACCCCCGCAAGCACAACTAGGTGAGTACACGGTATATTAGTGGCGTGTTATAATAAATATATCCTAGAGCATACCTAGAGTGAATCCCGAGAGTTCTACTCTTCCCAAGCCGGGCCTGGCTCGACTTGTGGTAACTTGGTCCAACAGGCTGTTGCTTGGAGCGGCCCGCACATCTGCTACAACCCCATTGGTCCGACACTTGTAAGAACTTTTTAACTTTTTTTTTCGAAACATGTTCACTTTTGTTAGGGATATTGTTAACAATGTAAAAATTATTGCTAAGATTATTTATTATACTTGCTGGGAGGATAGCGAATAGTCATGGACCTGTGGTGCTAATGGTGTGTTATCTCTGTCTACGGTACACCTCTCTCTCTCTCTCTACGGTACACCTCTCTCTCTCTCTCTGTCTACGGTACACCTCTCTCTCTCTCTCTACGGTACACCTCTCTCTCTCTCTCTGTCTACGGTACACCTCTCTCTCTCTCTCTGTCTACGGTACACCTCTCTCTCTCTCTCTACGGTACACCTCTCTCTCTCTCTCTGTCTACGGTACACCTCTCTCTCTCTCTCTACGGTACACCTCTCTCTCTCTCTCTGTCTACGGTACACCTCTCTCTCTCTCTCTGTCTACGGTCTCTCTCTCTGTCTCTCTCTCTCTACGGTACACCTCTCTCTCTTCAACCTCTCTCTCTCTCTCTGTCTACGGTACACCTCTCTCTCTCTCTCTCTCTACGGTACACCTCTCTCTCTCTCTCTCCGGTACACCTCTACTCTTCAAGTCAAGGGTCATTTGATGTGTTGTCCATCACGTATTGATTAGTGCTTTATTGCCTCTAAGAACATGCGTGTCAACTATCATTAATCGCATTCCGACATGAACAGCGAGAACCCACCTCCCACCCCCTCCTGTACTAACCAACCGATAGCTGACAAGCAGGGCTTAGGAGCTGAAGCTCACCCCCTCAAATCCCACCTTAATGAGCACACGTATTCAGCGTGAACAGTAAATAATGATGAGTATCTTCATTTACACCTGCAGGAGCAGGCCTAAAACAGAGCACTGGGGAAAAAAAAGTGTGGCTCCGACGGTTAATTTACAACAACGAGGCGGGGCCCAGGAGCTATAACTTATACAGGAGGGTATGTGGGCCTGCAGGCCGCTCCAAGCACCAGCCTGGTGGACCAAACTCTCAAGTCGAGCCTGGCCTCGGGCCGGGCTTGGGGAGTAGAAGAACTCCCAGAACCCCATCAAGCAGGTATATGTGGGCCTGCGGGCCGCTCCAAGCAACAGCCTGGTGGACCAAACTCTCACAAGTCAAGCCTGGCCTCGGGCCGCTCCAAGCAACAGCCTGGTGGACCAAACTCACAAGTCAAGCCTGGCCTGCGGGCCGCTCCAAGCAACAGCCTGGTGGACCAAACTCACAAGTCAAGCCTGGCCTGCGGGCCGCTCCAAGCAACAGCCTGGTGGACCAAACTCACAAGTCAAGCCTGGCCTGCGGGCCGCTCCAAGCAACAGCCTGGTGGACCAAACTCACAAGTCAAGCCTGGCCTGCGGGCCGCTCCAAGCAACAGCCTGGTGGACCAAACTCTCACAAGTCGAGCCTGGCCTCGGGCCGGGCTTGGGGAGTAGAACAACTCCCAGAACCCCATCAACCAGGTATCAACCAGGTCAGTGAAATGGTCGTCAATGCTATGAAGTGTTTAAGGGTTTGAGGACCATGTTTAGTTATACACTAAACTGAATCAGTTCATCAATGGTGACGTTGATGACCTCGGGCCCTCAAGCGCACACACAAACGCGACGGCCAGTCATTCCTATTCTATGTAAGTGGCAGCACTGGGAAAGGGAGTCCCTGAAGTGTTGCTTCATCCGGTCCCTCGAGCGGTGCTCCCGGGGGGGTGGCGGCGTTTCCGAGCTTCGCCAGTTCTAAAGGGGAAGCCTCCGACCACTAGTGTTGAGGGGGAAGCCTCCCCACTGGCCACCATGGGGGCTCTGGCCCACTTAAGTTCACACACACTTGCTAGAAGATGGTGATGTCATTAGTATCTCGACTCGTACTGACGACAGAAACATCACAATTTTCCAAAAAGTTGGCTACTCGGATTAAAAAACAAAATGAAAGTTTATTGTAGACGTCAGCCCAGGGCTGCAACCCAGGTGTCAGCCAAGACGTCAGCCAAGACGTCAGCCCAGGTGTCAGCCAAGACGTCAGCCCAGGTGTCAGCCAAGACGTCAGCCCAGGTGTCAGCCAAGACGTCAGCCCAGGTGTCAGCCAAGACGTCAGCCCAGGTGTCAGCCAAGACGTCAGCCAAGACGTCAGCCCAGGTGTCAGCCAAGACGTCAGCCCAGGTGTCAGCCCAGGTGTCAGCCAAGACGTCAGCCCAGGTGTCAGCCAAGACGTCAGCCCAGGTATCAGCCAAGACGTCAGCCCAGGTGTCAGCCAAGACGTCAGCCAAGACGTCACCCCAGGTGTCAGCCAAGACGTCGGCGCAGGGCTGTGAGAACGTTATACGTATATTAACCCGACTCTCCTGGCAACAAACGCCTTAATACTACGTTCCTGCTGTCGGTAAATGACAATTAAGCAAGCATACTGAAGCTGGTCTGAGATCTGGTACGTGGCTTCCAGCGAGGAAGCCTTCACAAACTGTCGGGCGCCCCACAAGGGAGCCACAACAGGAGAGCCACAACAGGAGAGCCACAACAGGAGAGCCACAACCTAGTGACACATGAGCAGGCCTTCAAAAGCAGGGGTCTATAAATAGGAGCAGCCTCGTATGGGCCAACAGGTCTTCTGCGGTTACCTTTGTCCTTATGTCTTTGGCACACACCCAGCCTCGAGTCGGAAGCCCCGGCGTGGAACCCCAACCCTCGACACGCGCTCGAAGGAAGGAAAAAAATGCAGGACACGATAACGGCACAAGATTTGCAGGATGGATTTACAAGGGTAAGATAAAAAATCGAGATAAGTGATAGGAACGTTGGCAGAATATTATTAATGCCATTGAAGCAAGCACGTGAAAATGGTTCAGAGACAGCAGAAGTTCATGTTATGATAAGCAGGACAGATAGCCGTGGAGATGGGGGCTTCAGAACTAGCGCCCAACCTTGTAAACCAACCTACCTGAGAACCACATAGCGTTTATTAAGCATCTGATGGATACCGCAAATAAACAAATTAAACATTAAATAGCATGTTCTGAAGCCATACCGGAGAGTAACCTTTACACACAGAAAGGTCAGGCCAAGTTAAAGAGGATATGGTTGCTGGAAGTACACGATGCGCAGTAGTACCCAATACAGGGCTCTCATCACGCCCACCACTCTGCAGGGCTTTCCGCCTCCATTTAGGACAATGCAATTTCATAACGCCATCAGTGCGTCTTGAGGGAGCGGGCGGCGAAGACCAGCAGGGCCCCGGGAAACAGCCTGGTGGACCAAACTCTCACAAGTCAAGCCTGGCCTCGGGCCGGGCTTGGGGAGTAGAAGAACTTCCAGAACCCCATCAACCAGGTATCAGGGACCACCAGATGATACACCAGGGTGGGGAGGGTGAGCAACTGGCCCCGAAGGCGCCGATGGAGTAAGGACTCACCAGCCCGAAGTCAGGACTTGGAACACGAAGGTTCGACGTGTGACTATGGTGATTGAGGAGGCATAAATCTCTGCGAGGTGTTCAGCACGTGTGCGCGCGCGCGTTCCTGACACCCAAAAGTAACTCGCAATAAGTTGGATCCTTCGCCGTTTCCGTCTTTAGTGCGATAATTCTTCAACAGGTAAAGAGGTCACAGCCGGAGAGGCGAGAGGGACCCCATCAGCTACACCACCAGGTAATGCGCACTAACACCACTCTTGTTATCGTACACTACCGTACACAGCTGCATTTGTAAACATTTTCCCAGAATGCGGAGGGCGTCTTAAATGATAGCCAAGTACGAGGTCTGTTCTTATCAACCAACACACTGGCGCAACTGCTCCGCGCAGAGCAGCAGGTAATGAGCCTTAAACTGACCAGGTAATAGATACATACACTGATATAAAGCGTATCCACCGGATACAGGAGATCCCGTGTCGCTTATCATTCACGAACGAACACCTCTCAGCGACCAAACATTAGGAGCGACGAATCGAACACCTCCATGGTGTTGCTCCTTCAAGTCATTCTAGGTAATCTTCAGACTGATAGATGGATAGATAGGCTTCATGGTTCGCCTCTGGATAATTTGTATCGAATTGCAGAGGAGAGGAAGAGGGAGAGAGAAGGGAGGGGGAGAAGGGGACACAATTAACCCAGAACTGTGTGAACCTGAATTCAAAAGGTTACCGTGAGACGGGACACGCGGACGAATATAGCCACAACGGAGCCACTGACGTGAACAGTCAGTCTGGAGATGATGACAGTAATGAAGGTCTGTGTGCGCACGCACGCACACAGACACACACAACCCGTCACCACGGGCGCCGCAGGGCACTAGCAGGAGGAGGGAGAGGGAGAGTACCTACCACTAGTCTGTTGGGCGTGGAGTCTGGTGGACGAGCTCCCAGGATGGGTGTAGCCGGGGCGGACCCGCGCCTGTCCGACCCGCACGCCTTCTCATACGACGTGTCTGTGGGGCAGAAGATCAAGGCTGTTAGAATAACATTTCATCACTACCATGTCTGTTAAAAGCATATTCAATGCCTCAAATAATGGAACAATATATATACAACATAAGCGTCCAACTTACTTCATAGAGAGGGAAGACTTTACCGCTAAAGCGGACTAATAAAGATAGCCTAGGCCTCGGGACTGAGGAATTCATGCACAATTTATATTAGAAAACTAATACTAGTTAAAACATTTGTTTACATCCATTTAAATCGAGTAATGTGTCCGCAACCTTCACTTCTGACTACTCGCTCCGTGTGTGTCTACGCGCACACCTGTGTTGGTAAGTCTAGGTCAGTGTCCCCAGCGAGGCGCGAACACCAGCTCATAACGGCCGGCGCTACAGTTAACCCACGACAAGGCGGGAAAAACAAATATTTAAAAAAACTGTCACCAATCCTCCTGACGTGCCCTCAACTCTGCTCAACCATGTTTAAATATATGCTACCCACATGGTTCAAATATATGCTACCCACATGGTTCAAATATATGCTGCCCATGCCCCCCTCTCCCCTTTCTTTTGTCACGCCCCCTCCTTCCCTCTCCCCCTCCCCAATCATGCCCCCTCCCCTCCATAACGCCCCATGACATCCTCCCCATTGTCAATAACCCTCTAACTACCACCATCTCCTGCATAAACAGACATAAATCAACATTAGAACCCGATCTAAAATAAATGTAATTTCTCAGACAGACAACCGAGCCAGAAACCGGTGACGGTCAGTACCAAACGCGACGATCACAACCCTACTGGAAGACACTGAACCTGAGGACAGCAAATGGATGGGTGGTGGGGGGAAATCACATGGATGATTGATACCTGGTTGATGGTGGTGAGGTTGACATCTTGGGAGTGATGTCAGTGACCATCAAGAGTCGCGTGATGAGCCTGGCAAGCACGAAAACTGAAGCCCGACGATGCATCGGGTAATTTTTCGACCGTATTCGTTACAAAGAAAGAAACAAACGGAGAGAGAGACAGAGGAACGAGACAAGTACAGGTAGCCATCACAGATAACCAAGACACCTTGGTTATCTTGGTTATCTGTGGCCACCTGCGCATGGTCTTGATTACCGCGTCACCATGTACGTACGTACACACACGTACGTCAGCTCAAATCTGGAGTATGCGGCTCCAGCATAGGGCCCATACCTTGTAAAGCATAAGAGGTTGGGGAAGGTTCAATCAAAGGCATGGCGCCAGACTAGTTCCAGAACTAAGAGGTATGAGTTACGAGGAAAGGCTACGTGAATTGCACCTCACGTCATTTAAAGACAAGAGTTCGAGGAGACATGATCATCACATAGAAAATTCTCAGGGGAATTGACAGAGTACACCGCTCCTGTGTCAGGTAAGTCCACTACGGGCTCTACATAGCCCGTTCTACTTGCCCCGCTCCTGTGCCAGGTAAGTTACGGGCTCACCATAGCCCGTGCTACTTGGAACTTGTTCCATGTAGCTGAATCTATAACAACATTATTGACATAGTACTTAGATTACTTAACAGGAGTGGTACTCGCCCAAGGGGGGGGGGACAGGTGGAAACTGAGTACTCAAATAAGCCACAGACATATTATAAAGATTTTTTCAATGTAGAGTAGTTAATAAATGGAATGCATACGAAACTCCATACACAGATTCATGTGTAGATATGATAGAGCCCAGTTGGCTCAGGAACCTGTACATCAGTTGACTGACAGTTGAGAGGCGGGACCAAGGAGACGAAGCTCAACCCCCCGCAAGCAATATTAGGCGAGTCCACGCACAAACACGATAAACCATTTTGGCTTTAACGTTTTATTAAAAATATAAAATAATTTTCAAGCCTATTGAATCCACTTGCAAATGTTAATTCCTTGAGTCCCTAGTGCTTGGTAGGATAAATACCTGGAGAAACTCCTTACTCAATACACGTGTCCTGTTAATCCCAGAGTTAGACCAACTTTACCTGCTACCTGTGTCTCGAAATATTCTCCATACCTGGAGCATACCTGGAAAGGGTTCTAGGAATTTTTCTACTCCCCGAGCCCGGCCTGAGGTCAGGCTCGACTTGTGACAACTTAGTCCTACAGGCTGTTGTTTGGTGCGGCCCGTAGGTCTACATATCCACTATAGCCTGGTTGGTCCGGCACTTATTGCAAGAACTTATCTAAGTGCCTCTTGAAGACATCGACCTTTGTTCCAACAATATTTCTAATGCTTGCCTGATTGTGCCTATGGCACCTCTACGCCTCACTGATTCTATTTTGCATTTCCTTCCTTATCTTTCGTTCCAGTATGTTCTTATTCTACTGTGCAAATTCGGGACATGGCCCTCCAGTATGTTTTATGTATATATTATTTGATATCTTTGTCGTCTCCTTTCCAAAGAGTACATTTTGAGAGCTTTGAGACGGTCCCAATAATTTATGTGTTTTATCGTGTCTATGCGTGCCGTATATGTTCTCTGTATTCCCTCTATTTCAGAGATCTATCCTGCTCTGAAAGGGGAAGTGAGTACCGAGCAATACTCAAGACGGGACAGCACCAGTGATGTAAATAGTATTACCGTTACTGTGGGGTCTCGGGATTTGAAAATTCCCATAATTTTTAGGACGCAAATTTGGTTTTCCTCTGATGGATAAATCGTTTGTGGTGACGTGTTCACAAGAGTATGGGGGGTCCTTGTTTACCCTTGAACTTAATCCTTGTTTTTTACATTCTCCTGCTCCTCCACGACGTACCCGATGAACCACACACGAGCGGATGCCATCACAAATGACCCCACCAGTAGCAACAAGACAAGCTCAAGGGCCACGTAGACCTTTCCACACCCTAGTGACGACCCCCTAGTGACGACCCCTAGTGACGACCCCCTAGTGTCGACACCCTAGTGACGACCCCCTAGTGTCGACCCCCTAGTGTCGACCCCCTAGTGTCGACCCCCTAGTGTCGACCCCCTAGTGTCGACCCCCTAGTGTCGACACCCTATGGGCGACCTCTAGCCCACACACCACGAGGGGAGGATATCCCCCAGCACATGCCCCCAACCACTCCCCCAGAAGCCCTACTGGGGGAGAATAGTCAACTCGTGGATCTAGAGCCCCTCACAGTAACCATGGGAGTGCATGAGAGGCGCGGGAGGATAGAGGGGGACGCGAGGTGAGACACAAAACAGATGGAGGGGTGAGGGGGAGGATGTTCTGCAAGATATGACATAACAAACAAGACAGGAGAATGATGGGTGATGGGGTACGACATGTACCTACCCATGCCCCCCTCTTGCCCCATCATAAAGACCCCCTTGTCCCATCTTCCAAGAATAGGCAGAGAAGCCTGGTGGACCAAACTCTCACAAGTCAAGCCTGGCCTCGAGCCGGGCTTGGGGAGTGGAAGAACTCCCAGAACCCCATCAACCAGGTAAGCTCAATGGTCAACACTAGCAGGAAGTCAGACCAACACTTCCTCCGAATCACTACACGGGCTCCACACAGCCGGTTGGTGCATTAATGACCGGATATACTTTGTATATCCGGATATGTTCACCGGATATACAAGGCATATCCTTCTGAGTGAAACCTTACAGGGAAGGGGGGAGGAGAGAGAGAGAAAGGGGGGATGGGGGGGGGGGGGGTAATGCCAGCTACCTCACCACCCGTTCAGAGCAGTACCACATTACTGAAATTGGTTCCTGATCTTCAGAGACCGAACACCCAGACACGACCTCCTGACAAGACGATTTGTTGCTCCCCCCCCCCTCTCTCAAGACACTCCCACACCCCCTCCAACCCCCCCTACACTCCACACCAAGTCCTTCCCAACACACACACACACACACACACACACACACCAGTCTTACCTGGGACGCGGTCGGGTCAAGATACCTGCTCCGCACCTTCCCCCCCCCCTCCCCCCATGCTGGGTACTGAGATGGAGACTCAGTCACCAGAAGACATGGCTACTTCTCACGGCGTTATTAACATGGACTCTGAAAGCAGCCAGTCAGACGAGGAGGGCGTGTTTCAAGAAGTTCTGACAAGGAATAAGAAGAAACGAAGAAGACAGGAGGCAAGGCGTAGTGTGGACAGTAATACACTTAACGGAAACGATAAAAGAATGAAGAACGACGCCGAGACTGATGCAGACAAACGGACGGAACGATGTCAGGAAGGTGAGGATCAGCGGAGATGGAGGCTTCTCTTCCCTGCCTCATGCACGCTGGCCTATCATCAGAAGCTGCTGTGGACCGTCAAACTCGGAAGAGAACACCGCAAGTTCGAGCCCCTGCTGAAGGAAGGTGTAAACAGACCTTACTTAACGGTAGGTTCTATGGAGGCAGTGGAGTATCTTACCCAGCAAGGATACGATGGAATTCTTATGGAAATACCGGAGGGGAACGAGAAGCTGACGAAGGTAATTATCTATAAATACCCTCAGATACTGGACCCCGAGTTTATACTCGACGACCAACGATTTGTGTGGGCCAAGCGTCACCTTATTAAAGGTGAAGCTAGGAGTCAGGTGGTGGCTCTAGTGAGAGGTGACGTACCCGAAAAAGTGTTCATCACCGGGGCTGGCTACAGGCATGTAGCAAAGTATGTGGAAGAGCCCATAATATGCCTGAAATGCTGCAGATGGGGGCATAAATCCTGGAGATGTCAAAATGATCCACGATGTCGTTTCTGCGGAAAGTCTCACCTCTCTACTGTGTGTAGAAACAGACTGAATCTGGGTGAGAAAATAGTTCCCAGATGCTGCAACTGTGGAGGTGTTCACAATGCGAGCTCGGCTGTGTGTAGCAAGAGGCCGAGTATGGCTGTTCTCCGGCCGGTGAATGTTACAGAGCAAGCAAGAGCTCTTACCCAGACACCGGGAGCACAGCAAAACAGTCTGCCCCAAACAGTGCCAGTGAACCGGACGAATGCGTGGGTAAAGGAGTCACCTTTACTTAGGCAGGCTCCAGCAACAAGCAGCCACGC